AAAATAATGACAAACAGTATGACAGTAATTACAGTTTATGTATGCATTTATTTATTTATTAAAATGTCACTGGAATTTTCTATGCCCCCCTAAGCACTCCTGCATTCAGGCATTAATAACCCTCTACCGCATGGTGTAGCCATATGGCAACATACTCTTTGTGTTCATTTCCTTGCCACTGTCTCTTTAAGAGAACATTCAAAGATTCAAATATTTTTTTCTATAGGTCTATCATAATGCGTGCGGTAGAGGGTTTAAATCAGTCTTTTTAAACCTGCTTTTAAGGAATATGAATAGTGAGGTGCTATACAAATAAAACTATCTTGACTAATGTTTAATTCTGAATCAATATTTAATGAATTATGCATAATCTAAAAAAATCACTTATTCACAACAGTTCATACTTCTCCATCAGTGATGTCTAGCTCTAAATGTGTAACCATCTCTTGTCTAGACATCCTTCCAGGGGTTTTTGTTCAGGGCTTTCACATGGGCCAGCCAGAAGCATGGTGACCCCCTGCCAACTTCATTCTGACTTGTGAGTCTCAAATCAATCAGGTCTTTTTTTCCCCTTTTCTCTCACTTGCTGCGATTTGCCGACATCACGGGTAGTCTCTCTCTCTCTCTCTCTCTCTCTCCTCCTCCTCTTCCTCTGATCTATCAGCTGATGCCTGAAAATGCCACTGCTGGCCAGGGAGTGCTCAAGAAAATAAAAACGAAAGCGCACAGAAGATTCAGTTCAACGTGCGCTAATGCTCCGGATACTCTCGGACGTTGGTTAGGTTAGTACATTGAATACATTAGAGGTTGAGTTTACAGATGAATTTTGTTATTTTGAACTGTTTCAGATGTGATTGTGGGCTAGCGACTCGAGTTAGCAGCCCTCGCGTAAACATTGCGCCGTTTCACGCTGCTGTTTAGCTTCCGAAAACAAAACTCAAACTGAAAACAGACACTTAAAGAAATGAAAGATTTTACACATTCAGCTCGTATAATTTAATTTACTCTAGTGGTTTTAGCTTTACCCAGAACTCTTTTGCAGCTTGAGTTAGCTAGTTAGCACACTGACTTCTGCGTAATGATCGAATAGCTGGTAATAATGTTTATGAAGTAGGTTTAGCGTCTGTAACACTCTGTACTATGCATCTCAGACTTTCATGTAATATCTTTGCATATCTAAATGTTTCAAATTAAAGTCGTTTAGAAATATACAACTTGTCTAAACTTTATAAAAATTAATGTCAAGAGTTTTTACACCCTTCTTCACTACCACTGCTGTAACGCTAACTTAATATAAATCATGAAGTTGTGTGCATGAATTTATTACTATAACCAAATTTACCTCCCCATCCGTATTTTGATATTCAAAAATTCAAAACATCTAATGAAATTGGAAATATATACAGAAAAGTACATAAAATATAGAAAGTAGAAGTACATAAAAAAGGCATGTCACAATTCTGCCCATCTGGTCAGTTGTGATATTAGTAAAGCTTTTAAATAGATGCTGATTCATTTGATACCAGTTCTGTCATTTAACATGATAACACATTTCTGATTTAGAAAAATTATACTGATTGTTTTGCGCAGAGTCTAACTTTTGTCACCTGAGGGTTTTGTTCATGTACAGTATGAGTTCATCCCTGTAGCTAATTTATAATCAGTTAAACTGCTGGTTACAACTCATCTTGTGTTACAAACACTTCCTGGTCTCCTCTACTGTTTATTTTACTAAAGATGCTGTGTGTAGTGGTTCACACTCCATTTTTCGACTCTATTTCACCATAATCAGCATTTGCATTTATTTGACTTCATGACATATTTGTGTTTGTGTTCTTTGCCTCATGCTTCTTTAGGTGACGTGATCTGCTGTCTGGCAGGTAAAATAAGGAAGAGGAGAAGATGGCACATCAGGGCAGCGGACAGGCCTGGGGAAAACTTGTGAAATTCGACACATCTCCGTGTTCAGAGATATTACTTATAAATAGAGAATGCACGGTGGGAAGAAAAAAAGGTGCGCTGAACATCATCGCTAATAATGTGGAATAATTGTTTCATTTTAAAAGAGCCTCTAACTTCTTTACAGACTCTTCTATGACTGTCTAGTTTTACCTATTACATTTATTAGTTATTACTTTTTTTAACCCTCAAGAAGATAATCAGTCTGAAGCAGTGTCTGCGTGTATTCAGTGAGCTCATGCCTTTCACAATACTCTCTTTAGTTCAGCAAATGAACCCCCACCCCAATAATGACAAAGGCATCTATTGAAGACATGCTCATGGAATATTAAGTAGTTTTTTGTGTTGTGGTGGTGTGCAGGGAAATGTTGTATCCCTTTGACTCCGTCTGTTTCTGTCTGGTTTTAAAGACTGTCTGTTTTTCTGCTTTAATTAATATTAATCGATGTGTCTCTTTGGTTCTGCACGCTTCACAGTAACATTCGACACTGGTTATTAGCAGAACTGATATGCTTCATTACTATAATAGTGTCATTTTTAACCTTACATCACATCACGCCACACTATACTTCATTTAAGACTTGCATGTCTAATGTGTCTGAGCGAGAAAGTAATGGGCCAGGTCAGGAAGAGAAAAGGTGCTTGATGAAAAGAGGAGCGTGCTTTATTAAAGTCGCAATGAAAATGCGTTCACAACCAATTTAACTTCAGTAATGTCACCTATTTTAAAGGGAAGCAGGATATTAAATAAAATCATAGAGTGTCCCATTTGCCATTCCCATTTATCCACACTCTTGTAGACAAAGCAACTTACATTGCAAAGTATGTGTTTATCATTTCATGCATTCACTGAGAATCGATTCCATGACTTTGGTGTGGTGCTAGAAACATGCACTACTGTAATGTAAAAATACTTTACTACTACTACTACTACTATTGTTATTATTAATAATTTTTATTTTATTTGTTTGTTTGTTTATTTGCCTTACAGTAGTGAGAATTTTGGAAATTTCACAGTTATTATTAATGGTCCTAATATTAGACTTTATTTTCGTCATGCTTTTCTCATTTTCACACAGCTATTGTTTGAGCTCAAACTTGCATTTTTGCATTTGAGACTGGGCCTAAAAGCTTGAAGGTGACATCAGCTAAAACTTTTCAGAAGTGGAACAATTCTTTTTGTTAAAAGATTATAAAGACCTATTTTTTTAATAACAGTGATGGATTGTACACAATAAGAAAAAGAATATAGTCCATTTTTATTTATTGTTGACTTATCTCTATGTCAGGGGTGTCCAATCCTGCTCCTGGAGAGCCACTGTCCTGTAGAGTTTAGCTCCAACCCCAATTAAACACACCTGAACCAGCTAATCAAGGTCTTACTAGCCATACTAGAAACTTCCAGGCAGGTGTGTTGAGGCAAGTTGGAGCTAAACTTTGCAGGACAGTGGCCCCCCAGGACCGAGTTTGGAGACCCCTGCTCTATGTCAAAACCTCACAGACGTATTTTCTTCATAGATTGTGACCTCTCATTCCCGGCTAATAAACTGGTCTCAGGGAATCATTGCAAAATCACTCAAGATCAGAACTCAGGAAAGGTGTGGCTGGAGGACATGAGGTAGGACCACCTGTTTGACATCATGAGGTCCTTCTTGTAAGAAATGAGCTATAATACACGCACATGGATTGTTGAATAATTTCATGCCAATATCATGTTCCTGCTTGTTCCCTCTTTTAGTGTACATAGTTTATACTAATATACTGTATATATAGTATTAGTATAAACTATATTATATTAGTATATAAAGTATATATCAGTGACTATCATACATGATTTACAGATTAAAAATGTAATTCAGTGTGTCATTCAATCTTGTCAGGCATATTTAGAACAAGAATCATTAGATGACATTAAAAGACTAAGATCACAGTGCAACAAATTGTCATTTTAAATCTTTTCCAGTTTTGCCACTATCCATCAATCCACTAGGTTTGTCAGATTACAGTTTAATACAGTGTAACTATTATTATTAATATTAATAATAATATTTGCTAATATTACTAATATCATTAACTAATATTATTTTGGAAGACTGATGTATAATGGTGATGCTACAGTTTATTTTTTTCACAAATAGATGTATCAAAAAAAAAAACTTGCACATGGGCAGTTGGTGTTAATTCTTTTTAGGTCTGTTAGGTTTTTGCAAATTATACTGGGTGACTTGTAATTACGCTAGTAAGTGAATTCAGTTAATGACATGCTTCGCCCTGCAGCAAATATATATCCAATTCCCTCATGACATTTAATCTTTGCTTTGGTGAATCATTAATTGTAATTTGGTTAATAGTCAGTTGATGGAGATATACTAGTTGATCTGTGTCTGTGGTGACTGTATCTCTCATGTATTTGATTGTACGCCAGCTCACCATTTTACACCCTTCTTCACTACCACTGCTGTAACGCTAACTTAATATAAATCATGAAGTTGTGTGCATGAATTTATGACTATAACCAAATTTACCTCCCCATCCGTATTTTGATATTCAAAAATTCAAAACATCTAATGAAATTGGAAATATATACAGAAAAGTACATAAAATATAGAAAGTAGAAGTACATAAAAAAGGCATGTCACAATTCTGCCCATCTGGTCAGTTGTGATATTAGTAAAGCTTTTAAATAGATGCTGATTCATTTGATACCAGTTCTGTCATTTAACATGATAACACATTTCTGATTTAGAAAAATTATACTGATTGTTTTGCGCAGAGTCTAACTTTTGTCACCTGAGGGTTTTGTTCATGTACAGTATGAGTTCATCCCTGTAGCTAATTTATAATCAGTTAAACTGCTGGTTACAACTCATCTTGTGTTACAAACACTTCCTGGTCTCCTCTACTGTTTATTTTACTAAAGATGCTGTGTGTAGTGGTTCACACTCCATTTTTCGACTCTATTTCACCATAATCAGCATTTGCATTTATTTGACTTCATGACATATTTGTGTTTGTGTTCTTTGCCTCATGCTTCTTTAGGTGACGTGATCTGCTGTCTGGCAGGTAAAATAAGGAAGAGGAGAAGATGGCACATCAGGGCAGCGGACAGGCCTGGGGAAAACTTGTGAAATTCGACACATCTCCGTGTTCAGAGATATTACTTATAAATAGAGAATGCACGGTGGGAAGAAAAAAAGGTGCGCTGAACATCATCGCTAATAATGTGGAATAATTGTTTCATTTTAAAAGAGCCTCTAACTTCTTTACAGACTCTTCTATGACTGTCTAGTTTTACCTATTACATTTATTAGTTATTACTTTTTTTAACCCTCAAGAAGATAATCAGTCTGAAGCAGTGTCTGCGTGTATTCAGTGAGCTCATGCCTTTCACAATACTCTCTTTAGTTCAGCAAATGAACCCCCACCCCAATAATGACAAAGGCATCTATTGAAGACATGCTCATGGAATATTAAGTAGTTTTTTGTGTTGTGGTGGTGTGCAGGGAAATGTTGTATCCCTTTGACTCCGTCTGTTTCTGTCTGGTTTTAAAGACTGTCTGTTTTTCTGCTTTAATTAATATTAATCGATGTGTCTCTTTGGTTCTGCACGCTTCACAGTAACATTCGACACTGGTTATTAGCAGAACTGATATGCTTCATTACTATAATAGTGTCATTTTTAACCTTACATCACATCACGCCACACTATACTTCATTTAAGACTTGCATGTCTAATGTGTCTGAGCGAGAAAGTAATGGGCCAGGTCAGGAAGAGAAAAGGTGCTTGATGAAAAGAGGAGCGTGCTTTATTAAAGTCGCAATGAAAATGCGTTCACAACCAATTTAACTTCAGTAATGTCACCTATTTTAAAGGGAAGCAGGATATTAAATAAAATCATAGAGTGTCCCATTTGCCATTCCCATTTATCCACACTCTTGTAGACAAAGCAACTTACATTGCAAAGTATGTGTTTATCATTTCATGCATTCACTGAGAATCGATTCCATGACTTTGGTGTGGTGCTAGAAACATGCACTACTGTAATGTAAAAATACTTTACTACTACTACTACTACTATTGTTATTATTAATAATTTTTATTTTATTTGTTTGTTTGTTTATTTGCCTTACAGTAGTGAGAATTTTGGAAATTTCACAATTATTATTAATGGTCCTAAAATTAGACTTTATTTTCGTCATGCTTTTCTCATTTTCACACAGCTATTGTTTGAGCTCAAACTTGCATTTTTGCATTTGAGACTGGGCCTAAAAGCTTGAAGGTGACATCAGCTAAAACTTTTCAGAAGTGGAACAATTCTTTTTGTTAAAAGATTATAAAGACCTATTTTTTTAATAACAGTGATGGATTGTACACAATAAGAAAAAGAATATAGTCCATTTTTATTTATTGTTGACTTATCTCTATGTCAGGGGTGTCCAATCCTGCTCCTGGAGAGCCACTGTCCTGTAGAGTTTAGCTCCAACCCCAATAGAACACACCTGAACCAGCTCATCAAGGTCTTACTAGCCATACTAGAAACTTCCAGGCAGGTGTGTTGAGGCAAGTTGGAGCTAAACTTTGCAGGACAGTGGCCCCCCAGGACCGAGTTTGGAGACCCCTGCTCTATGTCAAAACCTCACAGACGTATTTTCTTCATAGATTGTGACCTCTCATTCCCGGCTAATAAACTGGTCTCAGGGAATCATTGCAAAATCACTCAAGATCAGAACTCAGGAAAGGTGTGGCTGGAGGACATGAGGTAGGACCACCTGTTTGACATCATGAGGTCCTTCTTGTAAGAAATGAGCTATAATACACGCACATGGATTGTTGAATAATTTCATGCCAATATCATGTTCCTGCTTGTTCCCTCTTTTAGTGTACATAGTTTATACTAATATACTGTATATATAGTATTAGTATAAACTATATTATATTAGTATATAAAGTATATATCAGTGACTATCATACATGATTTACAGATTAAAAATGTAATTCAGTGTGTCATTCAATCTTGTCAGGCATATTTAGAACAAGAATCATTAGATGACATTAAAAGACTAAGATCACAGTGCAACAAATTGTCATTTTAAATCTTTTCCAGTTTTGCCACTATCCATCAATCCACTAGGTTTGTCAGATTACAGTTTAATACAGTGTAACTATTATTATTAATATTAATAATAATATTTGCTAATATTACTAATATCATTAACTAATATTATTTTGGAAGACTGATGTATAATGGTGATGCTACAGTTTATTTTTTTCACAAATAGATGTATCAAAAAAAAAAAACTTGCACATGGGCAGTTGGTGTTAATTCTTTTTAGGTCTGTTAGGTTTTTGCAAATTATACTGGGTGACTTGTAATTACGCTAGTAAGTGAATTCAGTTAATGACATGCTTCGCCCTGCAGCAAATATATATCCAATTCCCTCATGACATTTAATCTTTGCTTTGGTGAATCATTAATTGTAATTTGGTTAATAGTCAGTTGATGGAGATATACTAGTTGATCTGTGTCTGTGGTGACTGTATCTCTCATGTATTTGATTGTACGCCAGCTCACCAGTGTTGCTGTACATTTCCATCCAGCTAATTAAGTGAATGTCTGCTAGACAGTCAATAATATGCTCCGTGTTTTACACAATGCTTAGTCTGTGTGATGGAAATGGCAAGTTTCCCCTCCCTCCCTTCTCATTATCCTTTCTTGTACAACTTTCTCTTTGCTATTTTAAAACATTGATACATTCATAAATGGGTAATTTGTAATTTCTCAAACAATTCAAAAACATTTTTCAAATACATGAGAAGCACTATCATACATCAGAAATGTGGCTTGGCAGATAAGTGGACATGTTGCTCAGGCATGTCGATTGAGTTTGAAGCCAACTTGTGACGTTCTTTTAATCTTTCTTGTTCTTTGTCGATTGTTCCAGAAAATAGAATTCACTAATTTAGTAATTTAGCCTCTGAATAGCACTCACACAAAAAGGAATCCATGAAATTCCTAATTATGGGAACTGTAATTTCTGCTTGATGATGATCTGTTTGTTTCCGTCAGCACCAATGGAACAGTGGTCAATATGTCCAAAGTGGTGAAGAAGCAGATACATTTACTGCAGAATGGTGATGTCATTCACTTTGTGTACAGGAAGAATGAGCCAGAGCAAAGTGAGTTTTCACATTTGTTAAGCATTTTCTGTTTCGGTAGCATAGTTTGCATCCAAACAGAAGATGCAGGTAAGCCACATCACTCATCTAGTGGTGAAGAAGCAGATACATTTACTGCAGAATGGTGATGTCATTCACTTTGTGTACAGGAAGAATGAGCCAGAGCAAAGTGAGTTTTCACATTTGTTAAGCATTTTCTGTTTCGGTAGCATAGTTGCATCCAAACAGATGATGCAGGTAAGCCACATCACTCATCTGTTTTTGGTTTTGCAGACATTGCTTATGTTTATCAGGCCATCAGGCCACAGGAAAGTGCCTCACAGGACGTTGAAGGTAAATACATACTGAATATAATGTTTCATACTGATATTCCTATACTCCTGTTATACAGAGTTAGTTTTGCTATTGCCTGCCTAAGTGAGGTCAGCAGAAAAAGAAAGAGCATGTTACTACATTTTGAATAGAAGTTACGGAAACAAGCATTTTTCTCCTTTGGAAAAACATGCACAGATGAATTACCCATAATAACATGAGAAAGGTGAAAAGTGAGTTTTGATTTCATGAAATCCCAGCTTCATCCCCATGCAATTTTTGGCAATTTCTGTAAGTTGATAAGTTTTCTCTTTGGGATCTCCACAGACGCTGGAAGAGAAGAAGATTCAGATCTGACGGAAACCGAGAGTGAACCAGCACCAGTAGAGCCTGTTATTGTAAAGCCTCTACCTCAGTCTGGGCATGAGGATCCTCAGCCATCTACCTCCAACTCTTCCTTCCACTTCTACAACATGCCATTATCTACCTGCTCTGGTAATTACCATCCACACTGTATGTGCACTTTCATGCAAGTTGTTTTGATAAGAAAATGACTAGTATATAATTGTAATTGCGTTGGCATTCTGTGCTGCTGTTCATCTATGTATTGCGTTTTTCACATATAAGGCCTGTTCAGACCAAGGACGATAAATATAACAATAAAGATAGTTTTAGAAATAGAATTTTTTTTTCTAACTGATGAACGATTAAAACCTTGACAGCCAATCAGAATCCATCCTGCTTTAAAGAGCAGTGTGCACTTATAATAAACAGAATGTTATAATGTGTTACTGTGGAAGATCTTTGAGTTCAGCTCGTGAAAAATGGGGGCAAAAACAAAAGTGTTGCGTTTATAATTTTGTTCAATGTAGTTAGCATTTTCTTTATCTTAATGGTTAACATTTTTGGTGTGAACAAGCCTTTACATACTCAAAAAATGCCTAAAAAAATGTATATGCCTGTATGAACCATTTAGCAGATGTGTCTGCAAAGAAGAACCCAGTGAGTTCTTCAGTTATTCGTAAAGGAGAATCAGAGATGACTGCACCAGCAGGCAGCCCTGGGGAGCCGGTCATGAATCACACTCACCTGAAGTGGACCTGTTGGACTGAAGGAGCGCGACAGATGGAGCCAGAGGTGGAAATGCAGAGGAAAAGAAGAAAAACTGACAAAGGTGCTGTAACACACAGTTTTGATAAAATGAATAAATGTGACGCATTGTGAATAATTTATGATTTCTATCTATTTTGAGTGGTCTAAGCATCTGTATTCCAACATAATGATAATCACTAACTTGACAAATTTTTCAGACTACTTTGAAAGAGTTTAGAAGTGTTTTATGCTTTGATGGTTTAAGATTGCACTACCGTTCAAAAATTTGTCACATGATCATTCTAATCTTTGTAATATGCTGATGTGGTTCTTAAGTAACATTTCTTATCAATGTTGAAAACAGTTGTGCTGCTTAATATTTTGTGGGAACGGTGATACTTGTTTTCAAGATTCTTTGATAAATAGAAAGTTGAAAACAGAATTTATTTAAAAAAGAAATCTTTTTTTACATTATAAATGTCTTTATTGTCACTTTTGATGCATCTTTGCTAAATAAAAATAATGAATTTCTTTAAAACAATGAAATCTTGTTGACTTCTGAAGTTTTTATCTGGTTACATGCATTTCAGAACTGTTCTACAATATAGACACTTTCAAATGTAACGTTTAGGTCTGTATCTATCTGTCTTGCAGATGATCAGGAGGGGTATGGATCTTCTCACAGTGACTCTGCTGTTTTTGCAGCAGCTCCTCAGGTTCCTCTCAGAGGAGCAGCAGGAAAAGAGAAAAGTGAAGGAGCCACAACAGACAAAATGGAAGAATCCCTCACATGCATTGTCTGCCAGGACCTGCTGCACGACTGTGTCAGGTCAGTCCAGTGTGCACAAATCAACACTTACACCCGAATGGACATGTTGGCTGAGCGTAAATCCATTAGTTGTTTTACTAATTAAAACTTTTATATAAATAATTTAAGAAGGATTTTTAGAATGTGTGTGGAGGCTGAATTTGAATGAATGTTCAGTAGTTAATGTGTGTGTTTCTATACAGTCTTCAGCCCTGCATGCATACATTTTGTGCTGCCTGTTATTCTGGCTGGATGGAGCGTTCCTCCCTCTGCCCCACCTGCCGATGTCCTGTGGAGAGGATCCGTAAAAACCACATCCTCAACAACCTGGTGGAGGCTTACCTTCTCCAGCACCCAGGTACTGTAACACACCTCTATTCTCACTTGAGGCCTGTTCACACCAAGTCAAATGTAACTAAACAGCATGAGAGTATAAACCGTTTGCAAGGTATTTTTAGTTCTATAATATGTCTCCTTAACCTTCAAAGCAACTGGGTATATAAGATAAAAGGTAAATCTTTAGCCTTTACTGAGGGTTCAACATCTCCCAGAAAATAGCACTGGTAACTCCCAAGTGATAATACGTTTAAATTCTTTCTTTATAAGTTTGTTATTACACTTACTATCGAAGAGGTCTACATTACATATTTTTAAATAAGGAAGAGAAACTACATGCCTAGATAATGGATCAGAAAAACTGCTTTGGATTATTCTTAATAAACCAGTGGGTATAACATTGCGTACTTTATCATAGCCTTTTATCGTAATTTTAACTCTATATTTATTATTAAAATAATGATGCGATTAGATAAATACCCATTTTCATCTAATAAATCATGAATAAAAATAATGCCTTTACTATACCAATCAATTTTAAACAAAGACTTTCTGTTAATAACTACAGCCAAAGAGTGGAGTTGTAAGGGGAAAAGTTATGGGTAAATATTAGGGACCCGATACCAGTATCGGTATCGGTGCATCCCTAGTAAATATCATTTTCCAAAAAAAGCAGAACTTGTTTATGAAAATTAGAAACCTTCAAAGGAATTTTGAAAAGATCAAGATCACATCTTAAAACAAATTCAAGGCCACCGATATTTTTGAAAATATGATTAGGAATATGGTACCATATTGAGTGTGGCTTTGCTAAACACTCTTTAAGCCATTTTATTCTGAATGTACCAAGAAGAGATTCTTTTCTGCATTTATTTGATCAAAAACATTATTATTGTGAAAGATTATTGCACTTTAAAATAACTGTTTTCTATTTTAATATATTTTAAAATGTATTCCAGTGATGGCATAGCTGAATTTTCAGCAGCCAATATTCAAGTCTTCAGTGTCACATGATGCTTCTGAAATCATTCTAATATGCTGAATTAGTGCTCGAGAAGCATTTCTTATTATGAATGTTGAAAACAGTTGTACTGCTTAATATTTTTGTGAAAACTGACACTTTGATGAATAGAAAGTTTAAAAGAACTATTTATTTGCAAAAAAACGTATTTTCTTAACATTATAAATGTCTTTACTGTCACTTTAGATCGATGCCATCTTTCCTTGTGGATTAAAAGTATTGGAAAAATAAAACGTACTGACCCTAGGCTTTTGAAACTTCAGAACAAATTTTTGAACTTTTTTTTTTTTTTTTTTGGTCGTAGAGAAGTGTCGGAGTGAAGATGACTTGTGCAGCATGGATGCCCGAAACAAGATCACGCAGGACATGCTGCAGCCAAAGGTCGAACGCTCCTTCTCGGATGAAGAGGGCAGTTCAGACTATCTGTTTGAGCTCTCAGACAATGACAGCGACATTTCTGACTTGAGGTGAACAACTGTTATCCATTCAGAATCTTGTATTACTTGAAGTAGAACTTTAAAGAAAGGAAAATCCAGTTATCTAAATTATTATAGTGTTTTGTTTCTTATTAAATGTTAGCTGAAATTGTGATTCTCTTGCTTGGATCTTAAAATAGTAGATTCTATCAAGTATTTAAGTGATTACTGAAGCACACCCTGATCTACCATGCTTGTTCACAGTCAGCCCTATATGATGTGTCGGCAGTGTCCAGGTTATCGGAAGGAGCTTAGCTCTGCCCTGTGGATCTGTGAGGCCGCTCAATCAGAAGGGCCAGCTAAAGTGCCTGGAGACGGCCCCTCCACATCCTCTGACACCTCCACAGGTTATTCATGCTCACACTTGAGTCTTGACAATGCATTTGCACAACAACAGAACAGACACATGCATGCAATTCTTCATATGCTTAAATCCACTGTATTCCTACTGCAGCTCCTCAGGAGTTCAGATGTCCTCCTCAGGGCAGTCACCTCATCTGCTCCTGCTGCCTGCAGCCCATGCCCGACCGACGCTTCGAGCACCTTCCCCCTCAGATGTCCCCGCAGCACTGTGAGTGACCCTGACACCTGTCCATCAATGTTCTCAGGCCTCCTGGAGTCACCTGATGATTTGTTGTCTGATTCTTTGGCCAGGTATGGTGTGCCAGAAACCTTACTGTCATGTGTACTGGGGCTGCCAGCGGATCGGCTGTCACGGCTGCCTTGCACGTTTCAGCGGTAGGTTTCTGAAGCAGTTAAGCTTTCTGTATAATATATTTCTGACTGTCTGTGTTATTTTATAATAATGATTATGGTTATTTCTCTTGACAGAACTTAACCTTAATGATAAATGTCTGGATGGAGTTTTTAATGGAAATCAATATGAGTCTGAAGTCCTTCAGGTATGTACAGTTTGTTTGCTCATACTTGGAACTCATACTCATACATGGAATCACTGTTATTTTATTATTATTTATACACTATAATAGTATTTATTAGTAATTGTGTTATATGCTTTTGTCTTTTTTGGTTATAAATATTTATTTTATTATTTGTTTTTTTTTTGTATTCTGTTTTTATTTCCATTTTAGTCATTTTAGCATTTCAACATCTTGTCATTTTAGCATTTCAACTGGTTGCAAGGCAACATTTATTTTTTCCCTGTTTTTTTTCTATTTTCTAGTAAAATCTTTTCTAGAAAATATTCTAAAAGTTTTTTTTTGTTATTTATATTTTTATCTATATTATATTCAGTTAAGGAAACTATTTTAATAGTTTTAGTTGGAAATACAAATTTGGGATTAGGAATTTTAACAAATCACTAGCTTTGAGTATTAAACTTTTAACTTATCCAGTATGTTTGTGCTACAGACGTACATTAAACCTCAAATTATTGTGTGGATTGTTAACTGCTATTACTTTTCTAACCAATCTTATAGCACTTTTTTTGCCTGATGGATGATAAAATGGTCAAAAAAATCACATTGTCTTACTTAGGCAGTCAATAGATTAAAATAATGATCTTAATCAGATTAATTTCAAGCTACAGTAACATTTTAATGCAGTGTAAAAAAAAATTTTTTCTTGATACAGCAGAAGATTGCAGATTTAAGTATTAAGAATTTAATACTGTGGGAATTTTTCATATCTTAAACTAACCTATAACTTATTTTTTAGGAGAAACAATGTGAAATACACATTTTTTTTCTTTTAATTTTTATTTGATTTTAATTAAATTATTTAAATAAAATTTATTTTAAATGAACTACTACATTTTGCGTCCTACTTGGAATCCCAGCCCTCAGTTATCATTTTCTTTAGAAAATGTGAAAACCTAGTTTTTAATTATAATTACCAGGAGGATATTTTACCAACACAAATCCAAGTTTTAAATTGAAGTATTTGTTAGAATTTGACTTATATAACTCTTGAGCTCTAAGCTGTTGTTCATTTCTACGGAAGAGGATTAGGGCCAAGCAATAATAAAAAAATAAAAATAAAAAAAAACATCTCGAGATTACACTGTTGCACTGTGGAGCTTCTGTCACTAAAACAAATTCCTCGTATGTGTAAACAGACCTGGCAATAAAGCTCATTCTGATTCTGATTAAAGTCTTTAAATTTCGAGAAAAAACTCGTTAAATTTCAAGAAAAAAGTCAAGATAATATGTTGAGATTAAACTCATTAAATTTTGAGAATAAAGTCGTTATGTTTTGAGAAAAAAATCTTTAAATTTCGAGAAAAAAGTCGTTCAGTTGTGAGAAAAAAAGTCGACATAAAATGTTGAGAATAAACTCATTAAATAACGAGAAAAAAGTCGTTAAATTTCGAGAAAAGTCGAAATAAAATGTTGAGAATAAACTCATTAAATTACGTTAAATTGCGAGAAAAAACGCGTTAAATTTCAAGAAAAAAGTTGAGAATAAACACTTGTGTCATGTTCATTTCATCTCGTTGGAAAGTGTTATTTAGCGTCTGCAGTGCGGTGGGTTGGAGAGTAATACACTGGGCAGTAGCGTATGATACGATTGACTGGGTTCGAGTCCGTCTTTTGCCAAACTCGCTTTTCTTCCTTTTCTCATCAAATATCACATCGGAAAAGTGGAAATCAATTGCTTAACGAGTATTTAAAAATAATGTATTATTTAGGTAGGTTTAGTGTTACTACAGTAAATCCATTGTAAATATTCATTTGTGGATTGAAAAGTATTCTAACTGTATTGTTGTCAGACAGTGTTTCTCCTGTTTTCCGCATCAGTGTTGTTGAGAATGGCAGCGCGGTTTCATCTGCCTTTAAACTAGTTTAAATCATTGTGACATCTGTGGTTTGTATAGGAGAGCTCTGCTCCAAACTCAAACGCTTCTCACAGCGCTGTTTAGTGGTCGCCTGATCGAGACCTGCGAGTAAACGCAGTTGTTCTGAGCTCACGCTGCGCTGTCTTTAGGCAGAGCTAATAACGATCCATGCAGCGTACTTCACACGAGTAGCACTCTTCCGCTTTCGGAGCGCTAAAGAACAGTGCATATGAGTTATCAAATTGTTGTCACTCACGTTTTACTGATACATCTGGCCTAAAATTTAGTGCTGTCACTTTCTGTTGACATTGTGAAACTGCGTGATTTGTAAATTATGATTGGCGGGCCACATATAATAGCCTACATTTCAATAGACAAGCTGCGGGCCGTTTGAAATTCATCCACGGGCCGTATTTGGCCCCCGGCCGGACTTTGGACACCCCTGTCATAGATGCTATTTACAGTGAAAATAGTTCTAGAAAATAGTTGTACTATTTACACTAAGTGACAACAGCAGCATTTTAGATATGTGCTATTTACACTAAGTGAAAATAGCCATTCTATTTATGTTATGTAAAAGTAGCAGATCTTTGCAATAAGTGTAAATAGTAGCTAGTATTGTTGTACACTAACAGGATGCAATAATAACATTGATTTGAATAACAATGATTTTATAGATTTTATCTATTGAAATTATAGAAATAGATGCTGCCTTATTGGGACAACAAAGCCCTCCCTATAGCCTGCCTACCCCTAATTAATACATTATTATTAAACACTCGTTAAGCAATTGATTTCCACTTTTCCGATGTGATATTTGATGAGAAAAGGAAGAAAAGCGAGTTTGGCAAAAGACGGACTCGAACCCAGTCGATCGTATCATACGCTACTCCCCAGTGTATTACTCTCCAACCCACCGCACTGCAGATGCTAAATAACACTTTCCAACGAGATGAAATGAACATGACACGAGTGTGTTTATTCTCAACTTTTTTCTCGAAATTCAATGAGTTTATTCTCAACATTTTATTTCAACTTTTTTCTCAAAATTTAACGAGTTTTTTCTCTCTAAATTTAGTGACTTTTTTCTCGTAATTTAATGTTTATTCTCAACATTTTATTTCGACTTTTTTTCTCGCAATTTAACGACTTTTTTCTTGTCATTTAATGTTTATTCTCAACATTTTATTTCGACTTTTTTTCCTCAATTTAACAAGTTTTTTCTCAAAACATAACGACTTTATTGTCGAAATTTAATGAGTTTAATCTCAACATTTTATCTCAACTTTTTTCTTGAAATTTAACGAGTTTTTTCCCGAATTGTAACGACTTTAATCTCGAGATGATTTTATTTTTTTATTATTGCTTGGCCCTAATCCTCTTCCGTACATTTCTGCTTTTTGTGGTAGAATTATTTGACTTCTCGAGGAATGAGCTGGAGGCATATGCTGCAGGAAGTGCTCCAGGCTGTACAGCAGGGCCTGTACCAGCTCTCCGGTAACTGCCCTTTGGTCATATTAAGAAATGTTGAGGGTCAGGCACATGTTGAAGTAAGGGTGGTTGATAAAAGGAAAAAAAAATCCACAATATGGCTGAACTTTTTGGGGGATACATTATCTTTATCATTATCTTTATCTTTTTCTCTGAACATAAAGTGATTGGAAGCCTCATTTCCTAACATGTGGCTGCAAATCGTAATATTATTTATACCAGCTGACAAATTGGTTTATCGTTTCACTATACCACTTATAAAGAAACTGAATGTCAATGCATCAGTTATCTAGTACTATTTCACTGAAGATGACTATCTCAGGTAAATGGCCTTCTGTAATTCACTGTTGTTTATATGTGCATGTATTTCAGATTTCAGAATCACTGCCAACTCTTTCCTGTGCTACTGCTGTGGACTTCGCACGTTTAGAGAGCTTGCATACAAATACAGAGAGCATATTCCTGCACCAGAGCTGCCAGGTAACACAAAGCTGCACAGTCATATTAGTGAAGTGATGTGTGGCCAAGTATGGTGTCCCATACTCGGAATTTGTGCTCTGCATTTAACCCATCCAAGTGCACACACACAGTAGTGACACACACACACCGTGAACGGAGCAACGAGCAATATTGCTGTGGCGTCCAGGGTTCGGTGCCTTGCTCAAAGGTCTCACCTCAGTCGTGGTATTGAGGGTGGATTACTTGAAAACAAACATAGGTCCTTGAAAGTGCTTGAATTAAATTTGAAATAAATGTTGTTTATGGCGCTATTTCAAAAATTGTCCTATATGTTCTGTCAAAGAACGAAACGGCACTAATGACTGGGGGTGGAGATGGGGTAGTGCAAAAAAAAAAACTTTGGAAAAAATCCTAGGAAACACTGCATGCATTTAATAAAATTAGAAAAATGCATTTACAAAGGTAAAAAGAAAATGCTCCTAAAATCACTTTGAGTCAAATGTCAGCTCGTATTAGAAAGGCTAATTCTTGATCAGAATTTTTTATTATTGATTAGAAGGTGCTCCTACACTGCTCTTAAACTGGGTGTGTGAAGGGTATGGCTGTGGAACGGGGTTTGGCTGAGGAAAAATTTTCAGTCAAAATATTTTTTTTTACTTTAACCCCATAATTTTCGCACATCAGGGAGCCGCTATCAATATGCAGGGTATTGAAATCGCATTTGAATTAGC